CAAATGCCGTCCCTTTTATTTACCCAGAGAATTCACCGCCGCCATCATCATTACTGTTTATATTCCACCTCAGGCACACACAGACACTGTTTTACGGACATTTCACAGGGACATTGGACTACTTCAAACACTGTACCCGCAGCGCTGATGATTACCAGTGACTTTAACAAGGCTAACTTGAAAAAAGTCATGCCGGATTTCTATCAGCACATAACCTGCAGTACAGGGGGAGAAAGGACGCTGGATCACTTTTACACACAGCACAGGGACTGCTATAAGGTGATAAAAACACCGCCACTCAGTAAGTCAGACCGCGCCGCCATTTTACTACTCCCAAAATATAAACAAAGGCTGCAGAGGGAAGATCTGGTGACGTGCGAGGTGCAGTGCTGGTCTGACCAATCACAAGCCACGCTACAAGACACGCCGCAGGACGCAGACTGGGAGATGTTCTGGTGCAGCTCAGATTACATCAGGGGCCCGTTCTTCGTACGTCGCTTATTATATCCGAGATCAAAAGACACATCCGAGATGATATGATCCACCTAATCATTATCTGGCTAATTCGGTTCTTTGAACACACCTGTTGTTGATGATTAGTATGGCTGGATTGAGTTATCTGAGATCTTTGCGCGTTCATGTGCTGGTTTAAAAGGGGCTATGTATCGATAGTAGAAACACTGATCAGCAACGCTGCTATTGGTTGCCCACAATGGCCAAAGAGCGTGCCCACTTTTTCTCAGCGACAGAACAAGAACTCTTAATGGAGGGCTATGGCAAGTTTCTAAATTTAATAAAAATGTCAGGGAACACCTCAAAGGCTGCAAAAGCCAGGAGAGAGGGTTGGCAAAAAGTTGCAGACAAATTAAATGCATAAGTAGTGACGGTGTTAGATGTTTTTATCACTTATTACAGTATATATTATGTACTTTTCGTTTTTTTTTTTAATTTTCATAATTACTTTAATCTTTTATATTAGAGCCACCACGGGACCCACTAGAACTTGGGAACAAGTAAAGGTGAAATACAAGAATATTCTACAAAATGGTAATATTAACTACATATACTGTTCATGTACTGTATGTGTACTGTTGTATACATATACAAGTTCTCCGCATCTCTAATAGTGTAAAGGAAAGTGCCACTCGCAAACAATCTCAACGCGATGCACACAGTTTGTGCTGCTGTTAAAGCCCTACTCCGACGAGTCGAACTTTTAATATGAGGTTCCAACAAATTAATTATGTAAATGACACCCTCACGTGAAAAACGATATCTTTCAAAAAGTGGACTATCGCGCTGTGCTAATGGATCCGGTCTGTCTCGCAAAACGCGATTAATTCTAAAAGCTCTGCGAATTATCCTCGCACCTTCCGCAACAGGTTGCTCTCGTAAAAACGGGCAAGACACGGCTGCAACAGACTTCCCGTATCACCTCCGCTTATAAAGCCGCGATCTAATCCTGTTTACATGAAATAAGCCTGCTTCATGAGCCTGCTTCTCATGCTACCTGCCCTGCTGAAGAGTCCAGATTGAGAAACGTTTGTGTTTCAAGCTCAGTCAATGTAAGTGTTTTTCCGTTTGGTTTGTTCTTTTCTTCCAGTTGACTTTATATATGATTTGTAATTTGTTTCTCATGTTTGTTTCACGTTGAATGTGTTTGTTAGCATGCTAACCCTCAGTTTGTATATTGTATTCTAGAAGAACTCTTTATATTGGTAGTTTTACTACTGTAATGCTCATTGTGTGAATATGGGAAGCATTCCTATGCTAAGACTTCTACTTCACACCCTATCGTGGACTGCTTGGGAATATTCGCTCAAGACTAAAATGTTTGCCTGGAAGCATATGGTGGATGGTGATTCGTTTGGACAACCATTGGATTCTCATTGACCTTTGTATCTTTATCATCATCATCATCTTTGACAACATCATCATCATCATCATCAACGATAAGTACAATAGACATTCATCAAAAGACATTCGTGTCTCACATTAGACAAGATGCAGGTTTATCTTTCATCCATAATTCACACCTTTTGCTATGTTGTTTGCTTTGATGGATCCTGAGGACCAACACAGAGAGACTCAGGAGGAGTTTCTACCCTCAGGCAATCCAGCTACTGAATGAGGACACTTGAGAAGTCTGCATACTACTACCTCACACACAGACACACATACACAAACAATTGCACTATGGACAAACAAAAACCCTTGCACTCCTTTGCACACTACGTCCTCTAAAAAGCTGCTAAGATTCCTCCAAGCTGCTAAACATATTTTTACATATTTTTACATATAACATCTATGTCTTGTCTAATAGATTCTATTCTATTCTATTTTTCTATTTTATTCATTATATTCTGCTTTTATTAAATTCAGTTTTTATTATATTGTTTTATTATGTATCATGTTGCACTGTGGGACGAGGCACTAAGCAAAAACATTTCACTACATTAATACATCACATGTATGCAATGTATGTGACAAATAAAGAACTTTGAACCTACTACTAGTGACTACTAGTTGCCCTCCATTAACAGAACAAGCTTTTGTACTGGTCTTTCAATCACTGATGGTTTGTTACGGAGCTTGCCTTTTGCACTAAGCTTTGAATCACCTAGATATATTTTCACTCTTCTGATGAGTCTATCACTACCAGCAGCAATCTCTTCTACCCTACAAAGTCTCCACGCATTTCTCGGTAGATCATCATCCTTCACAATGACAATATCACCAACTTGTAGATTTCTCTTGGAGACATGCCATTTTTGATGGGCAACTATATTTGCAAGGTATTCCTTGCACTAGCGACTCCAGAATTGTTCCGCCAGGTATTGCACATGTCTCCATCTCTTTTATGCATACACATCTTCCTTGACAAACCTTTCTGTTGGAGGCAAAGAGCTAGTTGACTTCAGCATGAGTCGATGGTTTGGACTAATTGGCACTCTTGGGATCAGTTAGACAATCAACTGTAAGTGGCCTACTGCTCACAATTGCCATTACTTCATATAGAAAGGCCCATAAGGAAGAGTCATCTAGTCTCTCTGGATGACGTGAAAGTGTGGAGTTTAAAACTAATCCCACTGTCCTGATCTGTTGTTCCAATACTCCACCAGCATGACTTGCATTTAATGAAATCACACTGTTTTTCTGACAAGAAGGTGGTCACTATTTCTGTGTCAATTTCCTTAAGTGCATCTCTCAACTCATTTTTTTGCTCCCACAAAGTTACTTCCTTGATCAGATCTGACTTGTTGCACAGTGCCACTTATAGCAATGAAACAGGGTAGAGCATTAATAAAAGAGTCCATTGTCATGTCAGTGAGCATCTCAATATGCACAGCATGAGAACACATGGAGGTTAGAAGAAGGCCGTACCTTTTGTGAATGCTTCTTCCCTGCTTAATGAGAAATGGACCAAAGCAATCCATACCAGTGTATGTAAATGGAGGCGATGGAGTCACTCACTCTAATGGCAGATCAGCCATTTTCTTTTCCTCGGTGGGTCTCCTATGTTTTCTTCTTCTGATGTAGGAAGCAACAACTCTATACAATTCACAGTGAGATGGGACATGTATTCCTTTTTTTAATCCCTTTAGTTCATCTTTGTAGACTTGACTTTGCAGGCATTTGATTATGTGAAGTTCAGATTTCTGTCGTTCTGACACAGTACTGAGGTGGTTGATTTATCTTCGCTGACTCTTCTCAAATGGCGAGCAACAGCCCTGATTGCTCGGGACCAGGAAGAAAAGTTAGACAGATGATTGATCAAACTCAGTTTATCAATACTCTTTGTATTCAAGACTTGAACCATTTTCACCTCAGGGTGTCCCTAGGAGAGCTCTGAAGTCATCTCTATTGGCTTCCAGAGAACCAGCTTGATGACAGCAGTTCTTGAACAGGACGCATGATCAGCAGGACTTTCCCAGAGGAATATATCTCCAATACTGTGGGGTTGTACTGATAATTATCCTTTGTATACAATTTGCAACAACGGTATGAAACCTACGAGCTTCATTCTTAATATATCCCAACACTACCTTAGAATCCCTCCAGAATGTTTCCTCAACATCAGCATAATCTAGTTCTCTTTTAAGCACACTGCTCATTTTAGCAAACATTACTGCAGCAGTCAATTTTTGTCTGGGAATTATGACCTATAGGGGTGAGGCCTTTGACTTTCCTATTACTAGGGCACAATGAATATTTCCATCCTTGTTGCTGAGTCTCAAATATGAGCACTGACCGTACTCATAAGTACTAGCATCTGAGAAATGATGCAACTCAGCCTTGACAGCTTTCCCAAAGCTAATAGGTGCATATATCCTGGTTATCTTTTGCAAATCATGAAGATAACATTTCCATTGCTCCCACCATCATTGAAGTTCTCCTGACAAAGAATTGTCCCATCCAGTGCTCTGTCCATACATTTTCTGCAGTATCCTCTTTGCATTGAGCAGAAGAGGTGCTATGAACAGTAACAGATCACAAACAGAGGCACCTATAGACAATTTGCCACGAAGAGTAGCAGGTTGATGTTTCAACTTGATTTTGAACCAAAAGCAGTCTACTTCTCTTTGCCATTGTATGCCAAGCATCAGATGCAAGTTCAGATGTGGGAATACTGGCCAAAACAGCTCTGTTGTTTGACACTAATTTGTGCAGCCGTAGGCCATCTATTGCACAAAGTTTTCTTGCTTCAACAGCAACATTGATGACCTCCTCTGTGTTCTCTAAACTAGTCACTCCATCATTCACCTAGAAGTCGCTTAGAATGAACTGTGAACTTAGAGGATACAAATGGCAGTTCTCATCTGCAATGTGCTTCAGGCCAAAGTTTGTATATCCTGAGGAAGAAGTGGCACCAAAAAGATGAACCATCATACGAAATTCAAGGGGCTCTTTCTGAAGTCCTTCCACCAAAGAAAATGCAAGAAATCTCTGTCAGTCTCATGCACATGAAACTGATACATTTTCTCGGAATATAGCAGGGGTCCCTGGAGGACTGGTGGTTAGGCCTCGGCTCTCTCACCACTGTGGCCTGGGTTCAATTCCCGGCCAGGGAATCAACCCCAGGAATTGGGGTTGCACAGAACAGGGCACTCCCATTGCAGGTCCCAAGCCCAGATAAAAACTTGGGGAGAGTTGCATCAGGAAGGGCATCCAGCATAAAAACTGTGCCAAATCAAATATGAGGATCAATGACCTGCTGTGGCAAACCCTAATGGGAGCAGCCAAAAGAACAACAACAAATAAGTGCAAAGGGATGTTGGAGAAATCTGATAGAATACCATTCAAATTGTTTATGATGTCAGGGCCTTGAAGCAAATGATGATTCAATGAGTAACACTCATATTACTGTACAATCAAACACCACTCGCAATTCGTTTGGCTTCTTTGGATTAAAGACACCATGATGTGGTAAATACCACATTTCTCCTTCTTTGCCGTAGTCATTTACTTCCTCAGCTACACCTCTTTTCATAAACTCACTCGTGAATTTTTTAGTATCCTTAAATTCTGTCTCAAGGACATGGATCACATCTGCTGGAGTGACAGGAGGGAGCTCCTTGACTGCAAGGCAGTGATACAAACTGCTGGCTTTGTAACAGCTGTAGGTGCATATGTCCTGGGTATGCTTATTTTTTGCAAATCATGAAGATAATGTTTCCATTGCTCCCACAATAATTGAAGTTCTTCTGACAAAGAATCATCCCAATCATCCCATCCAGTGCTATGACTGCATATTTCCTGCAGTATCCTCTTTGCATTGAGCAGAAGAGGTGCTATGGACCCTAACAGATCACAAACAGAGGCAGCTGTAGACAATATGCCACGACGAGTAGCAGGTTGATGTTTCAACTTGATTTTGAACCAAAAGCAGTCTGAATCATCAAATGCGAGGTCTAGATCTTTAGCATCAGATGCAAGTTCAGATGTGGGAATACTGTCCAAAACAGCTCTGTTGTTTGACACAAATTTGTGCAGCCCTAGGCCACCTATTTGACAAAGTTTTCTTGCTTCATCAGCAACCTCGATGGCCTCCTCTGTGTTCTAAAAAAGGACGTAAGTCTCCCTCAAACTGGTTGTCTTTGACTTTCCAGATGGTAACCGTTACACAGACAATAGAACTAATCTGCACAAAGTATTGTTTTTACAGTAAATACCCTGCAAGATACATAATGATAACATAAACAAACTGATTTACAACCACAAAAGTTACTAGAAACTAAGTATTTTCAAAACAACAAAGTTGAAGCAATGGTATGACTTGTAGCTGAAATACAGCTGGTGATGCATGATATCCAATTTAGTGGACACATGGTTAATCAAAATTTACTCCTTATTTGAAATAGATACTTGAAAAATAAAACAATTATATTTTTCCTTAGATGCTACTTTGTCACCATATTTTATATATATATATATATATATATATATATATATATATATATATATATATATTTATTTATTTATTTATTTATTTATTTTTACCTGCAAGGGTCTTCTACAATAGAAGAATTGGCAAGATATTCCTGCCATGATCAAGTTTTGTGGCTGTCTGCTGGCCATCTTGGTTGAAAAGAATTTTAGTTGCAGTTACAACTGCTGGCCACTGGGTGGAAGCCTATGGAGTGATGCACTAGTGTCCATTGTAGTGGCTGATATGCAGTTACACCATTGAAACCCGTACATTTAAAAGAAAATGGCTATTGAATAGCTGTCCACTGTTGTGACCACCATGCGTCACAGGGTTAATAGACCAATCTCACAATCCTTCAGTGGTGGTACTTTGGTACTTTGTCTGCAATTATTGTAAGATTCCGGACTCCAGCTCTTGGCAATTTCATAGGTTGGAATGTGATCATGATTTACTGGTATGTAGTTTCTGGTATAGGCAGGAGGAAGATCAATAAAACTGCCTGACTCATATGCTCTCACTTGCAGCCCTGACACTCTCTCACTATGCAGAACTCCATCTTTACCAAGCATAGTGGTTAGTTTCAACCTCACTGGACTTGCTTCTGCTTTAAGAGCATTGCTCACTCCTTGATCAACAAATGTAGTATCACTTTGAGAGTCCAGCAGAGCACACACAAGTTTTTCACAACTAGGATTCTGTTTTGTTGATATCCATATGGGTAAAATCATTGAAGTGCTTTCAGTCTGTCCTTCTCCAGCTACACTGCCACTACACTCAGAGGTTTGTAGTATCATTAAGAACACTTTTGGAAGACACTTTTTTAGGTGCTGACTTCACCATTCTCAAAGTTGTTGTCATGCAGACTAGTGGGATTCTTCCCTTTGCAGGTATTACATGTGAGACGATGATGGCATTCCTTTGCAATATGTCCAGATTTTAAACATCCATAGCAAAGTTTGAACAAACCTCTGTTGTTTTTCCAAAGGTTTGCTGAAGAAGTCAGAGCAATTGTGGAGTGATGATTACTTTCCTGACAAAACATACTTGGAGCTCTGATCACTGGCCTTGGTAAAATTTGATCTTCACATTTTGCTTGAGTGTTGAAAACTCGAACTCTATTTTTCTTGGCCTCTTCTCTTAGTCAGTTTCTCAGTGGCAGATTCCAAAGCATGAAGAGCATGAAAAGAAGTTATTGGATTGCAAGTGATTTCTGCTTCTGCTGACACAAATGCAGAGAACTCTTTAAAGTCTGGAAAAGTTTCTGGTTCTTTTGATAATCATTCAGCATCTGAAGACCTTTAACATGACACACATTCAGGAATTCAGAGAAATTCCGAAGGCCCATGGCATCCTTTGAGTGAATTTTACGCCAATTAGCCGATTTTTTTCTAAATACCTTTCGGATGGCAAACAGTTGACCATAATGACTATTCAGTTTATTCCATGCATCCTGATAAGCCTCATCATCAGTTCTAAAGACGATGCCTTCCAAAACTTTGCTGAAAGGACCACTCATATACTTTTTAATATAGAATATATAGAATATAGAATATATTGTCTACTTTTCAGCAGACAAAATAGTTTTTCTCTCAATGAGTGTGATAAAAGAGGACTCCACTCCACTCAGAGCTAAACTATCTTGAAATACTGAAGCCTGTAAAGGTGTTCCTATTGAAGATTGAGCAGCTGTGATGTTTGTGTTTTCTTGAGGTACATTTTGAAATGTATCTTGCCCTTTTTGTTTAGTTTTATTCAAGGGATGCCTGATTCCTCTTTGATCTTGCTACACTCTAAAGACAGGTACATAGCTTCTTTAGCAATCTCCTTGTCATAGACCTCTAACTTAGTTTGCACAGCTCTTCTGTGCTTGTACTTGCTCCAATTCCTTTAGCTCAGCTTCAGTAGACCTTTTATGCTGCTCTTTCAGCTGGTGTATCCTTTCCTTATGCTTTGTTTCTTCTAACAGAGCATTGTAGACAGCTTTTTTGGCTGCCAAATCTGCAGCAACATCCACATGTTTGGCTGGTAAACTTGAAATAACAGAGCACTGGCTAGAATGATTGCTAGTATCCTGACTGACATCTGAGATAATTGATCCAAAGATTAAGCATGCATATTGATGATCTAGCAAGGTACGAAGAGAGCTTTTCTCCCTTTCAGCATCAAAATCTCCATCCTGTTATCCTTTCAAGGATGACTTTTATGATGTCAGCAGTGACTGCTTCACATGCATCAGCTCTTCTCATTTCATTAGTAGGTGATACACGCTGCCACATTTCATCATAAGCACTCAGGACATTATTTCTTGCTGCCTCCAAAGTATCAATTAAGATAGACATTTCAGAGACTGAATTGGCTGTTTTAAGACACTCATGTGCACTACAGGCTTCAATTTCCCATCAGTTATATGAAAGGACAGTGTTTCTTTCTCTTTTTTGTAGTTCTCCTTGCTGATATGCTAGCATTTTTCAGTACGGACACGTGTGTTATGAGCCACATAAACTTTCACTTTGAGTTTCTACATGGTGACTGTCACTCTGCTTATCCAACTCTCTTACGTCTATATCTGACTTTGACATTTTCCCTTTACGACTGCAAGTTAACAAAAGAGTAAGATAACATCATAATATTCACATTCAAAATGCATCAAGTCAATTTGACAATGGAAAATGAAATATAAGTTCAGTACTTTGATACACTGTACAATGAAACATCAACCCTTAAATGTAAAATTAATTGATTGGATTTTTTAGCCAATTAGCAGAAAAAGTACACTTACTACAATGTCTATTATATGTATAAACCTTGAATCAGACACAATACAGCCATATGTAGCCAGAAAAATTGTCCTTTCAGAATTAATCTGATTACTCTTCAGTTTTTAGTACTCACTGTAAAACACAAAACAAATTAGAACTGTATTCTTTCTTTGACCACTCCATCAAATCTGTCTAACTGCTGCCTGTGGAATTGCAGAGCCATCCAATGGAAACCTTGCTTGAACCTTGATCCATGAAGAGGGTAACCGTACTGCCCTTGACGAACTCAATGTCATCAGAGTCAAACGGAGATTGACGTTCAATTCTCTTCTCTAACTACACCATTCTTTGAAGCAGCTCAACAGATCGATGAGGATCAAGCTCTTACTGTAGCTGTCTGGTTAAAGATGGTCAAGTCTTTTACTGATGATACACATTCAGTTTATTAATCACAAATTGCCATAGATCAGGGGTGTCCAGTCTGATCTAGAAAGGGCTGGTATGGGTGCAGGTTTTCATTCCAACCAAGCAGAAGCCACACCTGAGACTACTGAAAGCCAGATCACCTGATTAAACAGGTAGAATCAGGTGTGGCTATTGCTTGATTGGAATGAAAACATGCACCCACACTGGCCCTTTGTGGATAAGATTGGACACCCCTGCTGTAGATTCACCATAAAATCACTATGAGATCACTGTAGAATCACAATGAAATCACCATAAGTCATCATGAATCACCGTGAGGGATTCTCTGCATACCTTAATCATGCTCACAAAATGACCGCTAAACCAAGAAATTACGTGTCAAAATAAAAGTCCTCAAATGTCACCTTACATGTTTAGCAAAAAAAGGCCATGAATGATGAAAATAATAAACAATACA